ATTGTCTATCAAATTGTATTACACCATTTTTTACCTATCTCTTCAAGTTTTCGTAGAAAATGCATTTTCTTGTAATTTAGAACTCATTTATCAATATACCCATGGAATACTGACATTTTAGATTATTTTTAAAGATTACAGATACTAATATTGTCGATATAGTTTATTTATTTCATTAAAAAATAAAAAAACTATTTAAATATTTGTTAAAGAGGACCAATTAATATGATTCCGGTATTCAAACTACATTAATTGACTGTTTGCGTTGATTAATAATAATTGCTCCAAATACTAAAAAACTGAATTATGTATGTGTATTAGACAGTGTAGTAAAAAAACTAACACCTTAAAAATGATATTTCATTTTTTGACAAATGCTTATTTATAACAACAGAGACGTTCATTTTAATAACTTATTATTATATTGATTTCTGATTCAAATCCAGATTTATTTAGAATAATTTATTAACGAACACAATTAAGTATCGGGCGGAAATATTGGTGGTATATTTAATTAATGGTATTCTCTTTTATAAAAATTTAAGTAGTTTTCTTTTTGCATACAAATGGGCTAGTAATATTATCGTTTTACTAAAAACGATAATATTACTAGCATGTACATTTTGTACATTTGTTGTTTTAAAAACAATCTAAAATGTCAATATTCCATGGGTATATTGATAAATGAGGTCTAAATTATAAGAAAATGCATTTTCTACAAAAACTGGAAGGGATAGGTAAAAAGTGATATAATACAATTTGACAGACAATTAAATTGTGCATCTGATTCTCATAAAATATACAGTGTGTTCCATTTAAATTAAACAAGTTATTGCCGTTTAAAGCTAGTAATTAAATTCAAAATAAATTTTTAGACAGACATTAAAAACTTTGATACCCTCGGACAAATGATGCCTTATAATTTATACTGCAATTTCACAAAATTGAAAATATTTCAAAACCGGTAAGGTTTAAGTATAATAAACCTTAATCAAATTTACCTTTATTTTAATCGTAGAAACTAAAAATGCAATAATATACAAGGTGTTCCATTTAAAAAAATACAACTTTGATATTTTTTATTTATAAGGGACACTCTGTATCTTGTAGAAATATTTTTAAATTGTAGCTCTAATAGTCCTTCAACGAACCCAAAACTTACAATTTGTAAAAATCTAATCGTTTAGCTACAATACTCCGTATCGTATGTGGTGAACAACCCTGTATTTTCTCTTTACAATTAAAAGAAATGTTTTTTTGGTTAAATTTTGTAAACCATTGAATCTTTTCTGGGTTCTCTTTCTTGAAAATTGAATCTACCCCCTACCTATGTTACCATACTATCAAGAAACTATTATTTTTTAACCAAAAACTTACAAAAAAAGTTTTCAAAATATTGTTTTCTCGCCAAACAAACTCATTGGCGTTTCTGGGATCGAAATATAATATCTCCAGTTATTTAAGACTCATCCTGTATTTTATAAAAATTAATTTCAATGTGATAAAATTCCTATAACTATACTTATTAGGCATTAAAGCTATAACTGTAATTTGATCAAAAGACAATGAAGTGACATAAGCCTTCAACGATATTTCTTTAAATATAACGATGATACTGAGAAAACCAACATGAGTATGATGTCATTACGGATCATCAGACCAGACATCTAACCAGACAAAGTAATAGATATTTTAGGACTGTAGCGAAAAAATAATGTAAAATATTCGTTAAGAAATATGCACATTAATGACTAATTGGCTTTAGGTGTCATTGACTCAAGTTGTGGTTGTTGAAATTCCTTGATTTTTTTTATTATTTTTGCAAACCTCAGCTGGCATTATGCATTATAACAATAACTGATTTAGTAATTACATAGTTGCAATATTTTTCATATTAAAGAATAACACCGCAAGGCAGTGGCGGATTGGGGGGGGGGGAAGGGGCGGTCCGCCCCGAGCCCCGTCTTTTAGGGGGCCTCCAAATCTTAATATATTTTTTTTAATCAACTGGCAAACAAGGTCAATACGTGTTCAGTAGTTAGGAAGCAGTTTGTAGGTGGACTATGCAAACCATACGTATACGCCAACTATAAACAGTATATATGGAAGCAGATATTTACTTAATTATCAATTATCAGGCACCAGTAGTTGTGATTGGCATTTTCTAATTAGGTAATTAAATAAAAGGATAATTTTCTTTGTTTAAAATATCGAATAATTATTATTTTTTATATATTTTGAGACTGAATTTATTTATTTTAGCTGTTAAGTTATTTTTCAATGATTTCATTATTTATTTTTACTGAATAAACATTTTAAATTACATCCAATGCACAGCATAACTTGTATTCTAGCTTCTTTAACCGATGATGAGCAGTGAAGTCTTTAGTGTAACGGGGGCCACGGGCCTGAGACAGAGAAGGGGTCCCTCGGATCCTGGAGGACTTACAAAATCGCGATGTTTTGTCGCGGTATTTCCCTGGAACGGTAGCGAAAGTAACGCGGCTCATATGTGGAACCGGTATTTTCATCACTTTGTCATCATAAGTTGCCATTAAATACATGCAAACATTGTTTTATTACATCAAATTGCATTCGTTTTTCAATTTGAAAATATTATAAGCTTTAAAAAATTGATGTTATCGCTTTTCTGCAGCCTTTTAGAGCTGGGGCCCTTAATACTCCTAGGGCCAGGGCCCATCAGGAGTATTAAGGGCCCCCCCCCCGAGAAATCCTGAATTTTGACTGAACGATGACTCTTGGCTAAATATTAATTTTTATTTGCGTGTGATGTAGTAAAAATTATTTTTCATTTTTATTTAGTTAATATTATATTATTTCTGTGTTCAAGAAATGTGTGTTAGTTACTAGTTACGCTAATGTTTGTGGTAGAGCTTAAATTAACAGTGACACTATTGTGATTTATCGAAAACTTTTCACTAGTAAGTGACTATACAGGGTGGTCCGAACTGTATTCAGGAAACTTCGGTAGCATATTCTGCAGATAAAAATAAGTAAAAAAGTTCGTATAAATGTATATCCTTAAATGTTAGTTTCGAAGATACAGGGTGTAAAAGTTTCATTTTTATTTCGATTTTTTCCAAATAATTTTAAATTAATAAAAAGATATATCAAAGAGCCAGGCGTCTTAAAATACTTTCGAGAAAATTATGATAAAACAGTTTCTGTTTTTCAGGTTTTTTGAACTTTTGGCACAAAAATATTTCAAATTTATGATTTCAGTCTAATAACTATTTAGTCAAGATGTTAATTTATGTCAATAAGGACAGAATATAATTATTATCAATATTATTGATAATTTAGATTCCAAATATCTCGAGAACCATTACTCGTAGCGATTTTTACCAAGAAACCTTTTTTACGTAAAAAACGTCGTAAATGTATATTTATTTACTCAGTAATTATATACAGGTACGGACGAAAAGTTATTAGTCATCAATTAATTTTAAAATATGAATCATATTGACATCAAAATCAAATTTCTCATGCCAAAAAACTCCCAGACACCATATTTTCATCCAAATATTGACGTTACTTCAGAAATTATTTAGAAAAAATCAAAATAAAAATGAAGCTTCTACACCATGTATCTCCGAAACTACGCATTTTAGGAAATACATTTATACGAACTTGCATGCATGTGGTAAACCGGTCATTTATGAAATTAATTTAAAATTAATTAATTTTGTATTTTTTCCTTCATGCATTTTTGCTTTTTTTCTCTAGTGATTTTATTTTATCAAATATTATGTTGTTGATTAAAATGATATGAATACAATCTCCTGCCTATCCCTATTGTATTGTTCGTACATTTGTGATTATTAAACAAGCTACATACATACAATATCTTCATTCTTCTTTGTTTATTTACCCAGGGGTATAACATATAACTAACAAAAGAGGTCATTTTATGGTTCAAAACCAGCGCTATTACATCAGATATAGACTTGTTATTAGTGCATTGTACTTGCTTTTACAACCATTATGCAGATTAAACATTGTTTATGAGGTTATACTGGGTGAGACGGCATTCCACTGGCTGAAAAATAAGATTTCAACTAACTAGTAGCTTTTGGGTAGCTGTCAATTATACTATTATTAGAAAACTAACGTTATAATCGTTTAATTTTGATTAATGTTTCACCAAATCTAGATCCTTCTTCTTATAATAAGAAGATACTTATTATTTTTTATTTATTTTAATTTCAAATTATCAAACAAAGTTTACACAACACATTTTCAGACGATGACATTAATATATGAATCCGTAAGTGTTGTTAATGTATGTTTTGTTACAACAACCTTTCGCAGAACTCATATTTTTTATTACAAAAAGCTTACAAAAAGTTACAGTAACTTAATGGACCATTATTGAGTCATTGTAGGTACTAAAAAATGTAACACGAAAGCAAATTATCACGGAATTAGGCAAATTAGAACCATTATACAAGATATTATACCAAATTTTTCAGGGAAATTGGATTATAGTGTCTGTTTTATTTTATTTTTTTGTTATTTTTTATTAATTTTTTTGAATTGAAACTTCTTTACGCTCGTTGGGAGTAAAAATTCAAAGCCGTGACACACGAGCTAGCGAGATGGCACGCGAGACGAAAAGTGGTAACGATCGTAAACAGCGTTATATGTCACTTTTTCAAACATGTCCTGCAATTTAATAGCTGTTAGTAAGAAGTATAATAATAATAGCTCCCGTTTATAGCGTTTGACGCCTTGGGAGTAGCAAGGTACATCTTGCCATACTAGAGCCGTTCGGTATACAAAGAAGGTAATGTGGCTAGCACTACGCTTCAACCGCCTATTATTACCTCAGGATTGTGAATCCCAAGTACTCATTTGAGGCTGAGTCAACCTAGGTACCCAAACTATTTTTATTTTAATAAAAAGGTATTAATAAATTATACAAGTTCGATACGAACATCACAAGTATAAAGTGTAATTGAAAAAACAAATAGACTTACCAGTAATAAATTTCTGACTTTGACTGGTCTGAGCTTTACTAAACGTCACTTTCCTCCGGGCTTTCAAGATTTTCCTCCCCAGATTTTTAACAGGAACGTCAAACAGTCCGCATGCAGTCGTTTCAGATTTTTTATTCTGAGTATTCCGATCATTCTCTATGTTTTCCCTCACATCGTCTTTGCAATTCTCCAGATCTTCGATGGTCTTGATATCGAACCCAAACTTTTTGAAAAATCTTTCCTGGTCTTGAAGGTACTGTTCTTGTAGAAGCTTCTTAGTGTCATCTGAGTTGGCCTTACCGAAAAGACAACGTTTTGTTGATGAGGATGTTGGTTTTTTATGCAGAGAAATCCTGTTGAAAAAATTCTCGTGGATCCTTGGATGAAACAGTCTTTTTTGCTTGCTTTCCAGAATAATGATCTTGCAAATGTCGTGAGTAGTGTTTTCCATGGCACTCAAGTTATAAAAGCACAAATTAAAATTAATTGAATTGGAAATAAAAAACACTGTAAAATAAGCGGTGTAAGTAGCGTACTGTACCGGTAGTACTCTAGAACTCTGAGCTCGACGGACCCCAACAGCTGGCGGTGGTGGTTCGGCGATTAGTGGCTTAAAGTTTGAGTTTTTAGTACAGGTAGCTTAAAAAGTTCCCCCTCCAGTTCGGCTTAGTAGTACTGTTTGGCTGCACATGGGAATATAGAGCTCGACAAGAATAAAAATGGCATTATGTGACTGGAATTAGTAAACTATTAAGTTGTTCTTTATTAATGTTAATCTCTCTTCTTTATTAATGTTAATTATACAGGGTGAGAGTCTTAAATAAGTGCAAATATTTCTAGAAATTAATAATATTTCTATAAAAATCTATACTAATATATAAAATCCTTAAGTGACTGATATACTGATTAATCACGATCCTGCTCAAACCACTCAACGTAAGAAGCTCAATTTTGGCATACAGGTTGATTCTAGGGTGTAGAGGTTCGATAAGGAGGGATTTTTCGAAATTCCAGTTCCAAGAGGGTGAAACCACCCCTTAAATATTACAATATTTTTTATTTAAAAAACGGCCAAGTTTCCGAAAAAACGCTTAAACACCTATATTTTATTTTGTTTTTTTACATATTTTAAATTTTTTTAAAAATGTATACAGGATGTTTCGAAAAATCTGGTCATTGATTAATCACGATCCTGCTTAAAGCGCTTGACGTAAAAAGCTGATTTTTGGAAAACAGATTGACATTAGGGTGTAGAGGTTCGATGAGAAGGGATGTTTCGAAACTGGAATTCTAAGGGGGTGAAACTATCCCTCAAATATTAAAATATTTTTGGTTTAAAAAACCGGTGAGTTTTTCGGAAAACCTCTTAAACACGTATATTTTATTTTGTTGTTTTACATATTTTTTATAAATTTATACAGCGTGTTTCATAAAATATGACCATTGAGTAATCACGATTCTGCTTAAACTACTTGACGTTTAAAGCTGATTTTTGGCAAACGGATTGACTGTGGAGTGTAGAGGTTCGATAAGGAGGGGTTTCTCGATTCTCAAATTCCAAGAGGGTGAAAACGGCCCTCAAATATTACAATATTTGTTATTTAAAAAAACGGTTAGTCTTTTGGGAAAACGCTTGGACAAGCATAATTTATTTGGTTTATCATAATATGTAATTTTGATTTTTTTTAAAAAATCATACAGGGTATTCCAAAAAGTTGGGTAATTTCTTAACCACGATTCTGCTTAAACTGCTTGACGTAAAAAGCTTATTTTTGGCAAACGGATTTTTCGAAAGTCAAATTCCAACGAGATGAAACTACCCCTCAAATATTACCAAGTTATATAATATCGCCATATTGTTTTTTCTCATGCTGACATAAATGTGAGAAAATTTTGTCCAGTTTGTATTGTTAATGGAAATTCTTGCTTTGCTTTATCATCACCATTACAAATGATTAATTCGACGCGAACGAAGTCGCTGGTACACGCTAGTATCTCTATAATTTAAAAATATTTGAATTATTTTAGTTTTTACTTATACAATATAATTTTTTGATAACATGGCAACATAGGTAGCAGATTATATACACAGGAAAGAAAACCTAGAAAAGATTAAGTAGTGGTTCTCAAAATCTAAGTAAAAAATCATTTTTTTAGAAATTTTCAATGCAAAATAACTTGGTTATTTTGGACTTATTTGAAAAACGGTAAAGAGGAAATGTGTTTCTTTTATCGAGTTCTTTTTTACCAGCTCTGAAAATATTTGCACTTATTTAAGACACACCCTGTATATTGTTTTATTAGGAGTAAAATTGATATTTGTGGCGAGGCTGTACGTTTAGCAGTACAGGCGAGGCACAAAAAAACATTTTTACTCCGAATAGAACAAGCAATTTTTTTTTCAAACGTCACAAATGATTTTTTAAACGATTTCAAACGTTGCAAATAGTATAAAAGATTTAAAAGTAATATTTTGAAAGTAATTACATATCGAGGAACTATGGTTACACCTGATTATAGTCGTTGAATTTGACACTTTTTGTCAGTTTGATCTTTTTAGGCGTTGAAATTACTTTTTCATATTGTCAATCACGTCGCAAAAATTAATACTTTTGTGACACTTAACTTCAATTTATAGCATTTCAAAAAGTTTTTAGAGTAAATATAGAATTTTTATTTCTGCTATTTTTATTCGGTGTGAGATATAGGTACCACTATGGTACTAATAAACCATGCAATCATAAAAATTTACTGAAGCATGGAAACAAGGTAAAACACAGTATACAAAACATAATTATAAGTCTGCAATTTGAACATTTTTTTGTTATAAAAAATTCAGTAATATACCATCTATTTTTGGCATTAAGGACTATACAAAAGGTATGTACATAGGTTGTTAAAATGCTTTTGAAAAGTACATCTCATGATGATTTGGAATAGGTTTGGAATTATAAAAAATCAGTTTTGTATATTTTTTGGCAATTTTAATAACAATTCTAGATTAACTACATTTTTTATCATGCTGTTGCTCTGTGTAGAAAGATATTATAAATAAGTACATTAGATATTAGATGGATCAATTTTTTATTAATTATAAGTTATCAATGATTTTGTTTTGCTTTTGTGTTTTTCTTTTCATTTCCCAAATTTTCTTTCAGTTTTTCTTTAGTTTTTCTGACTCAAAGTAAACAACAGAACAATAAATACGTTGAAGTGTAGGTGATAAATTAAAGATAGACCATACACGTGCGTCAATGTTTACAAAATATACGTTAAAACATATTTGGAATACTAAAATAAGGTGTGTTCACACCGGATATACGTTATATTTTGTCGCTTGTTGGACCTATCCCTTTTAGGGATGGACAGACAGGCCCTTTACAAATAATAAAAAAATATATTCGATAATTAGTAATACCGGTAATACTAATAACACAGATAATACTGTAGTTTTAATAATTGTAATACCGTATGATAAAAAAAACAGCAGTACAGTGTCCTGTAAAGTTACGTATCTAATGTCTATTTGAACTCATTCATTTATGCAAATGTATTCGTCTGTTGCAAAAATTGTTGATATAAGTTGGCCACTATATCGAAAAAAAAATAGAAATATAAACAGAGAAATTTAAAATTTATATATATTACCTATATGTTAAAATAGCTGAATCTAGAACACCAACGTCTTTTACCTCAATTAACTAAAACAATGTAGTTCCGCCCTAGATAAGCAGGGGAATAACAAGTGCATTTGCCACCAAACGGTGAGAATTTTTTGAAATTGTTCCACCCTATGAACTTTACTTTTAAACAGAGTTGCCACATTGTGATAAATATTTTTAAAAAGAATAAATCTTCGAAGAGTTACTGCAGAAATTATTTGGAAAAATCGAAATAAAAATGAAACTTCTACACCCTGTATCTCCGAAACTAACCATTTTAGGACATACATTTGTACGAACTTTTTTACTTATTTTTATCTGCAGAATATGCTGCCGAAGTTTCCGGAATACAGTTCACATCACCCTGTATATTTGCTAGGATTTTCCAAGTTCTTCTACCAGCGTATTTAACATTTCAGCTTTTGTTATTCCGTCGTTTCCTCCTGGTTTTTCATTTTTCATTTTTTTAAGCGTTTTTTCTACTTTTTCGCGAGAACTTCTGGGGCGTCATCTTCTGATAGGGGCTTTGATAGTCTTTCTTCGTGTATGCTTTCTGGGGATTTATGTTTATGTTTATGTTTTTGTTGGTTATTTTGATTATGCAATTAGCTGCTTCTTTCCGATTATGCGGGATTTCTTTGCGTTTTTGTAAACTACGTATATGAAGAGGTTGAGTTTGGAAAACATTTGAATATTTCCAGTACTTTTTCTAGATCTGGCAACTGTGCTATGTCCGGCAAACCATTCAATCCTGCGACCTGTCGTTACGCCAGCGTTATCAGAAGATAGATGGCGGTGACCCGCGACAAATAAATTATTTCTCTTTAATTTTATGCTCCCCATTTTAGTCCGACCGACCCAACCTATGCCGTTTTGGTAGAGTTGCGTGAGAACTGGGTACTGCAAAGTGCACCGAATAAATTAACCAATTTTCGGCAGAATTGTCGACTTGTGTAACTTTCATCTTTAACGAGCTAATTATAACATTTATTTATTATCATTTCTCTAAAAGGTGCATTACGTTTGCCAAATTTAACTTTATTTTTATTGAAGGTATATTCTCAATATGGAGTACTGCCAAAAAACTTTTGATGATAATTTGGAGCTACCTCAAAAGGAAACACATATTTTTGTTAATAAAAAAATAATTAGTGTATTAAAAGCATTTAAATAAACAGAAATTTTAATAAGGTTGTTATTTACATATGACACTGTATGACCAAAAAAAAAACGGCGTCAAGTTGGCTTGCAAATGACGATCCATCATATAATTTTCAATACTGGATGTAAAATTCTGGTAAAAATAAGATTTATTTTTCATATTAACATAGGTTCGATTCTGCTTAACTTCATAGGTACAGGGGGTTAAAATCTTCATTTTTTTTCGATTTATTATTATTTTCTTCCAAGTGCTTTTAGCAATTCGAATGAAATTTTGAGGGTCAAAGTTACTATGAATGCATATGAGTTATAATTGGAATATTTTTCTCAAAAAAAATATGTGCGCCACTGACTTTTTTTCTTTTTAGATCAAAATTGTGTAGGCCGTTTAATGTCAATTAAAAATTATCTCTTGATATTTTGTCGAATTCGGCCTCCTTAATGACATAAACACAATTCTACTAATCACAATTAAGAAAATTAAAATAAAAATAAAATTAATAAATTACATATTTTATCTGATTTATTATTAAATATTATTATAATTAGTCCAGCCTACAGCAATTTCAAATAAAAAAATAATGGTATTTAAGATAATTATAAAAAACCTAATTTGAAAAATTTTAACATCCTGTTACTCTAAAACTATGCATTTCTATACCCATGTTCATAGGAACTTTTTTTCGTATTTTTTGATGAGGAATCAACGAGTACTTATTTAAAACTTTCGTTAGTTTTAAAATAAAAAATAAAATTGTTATATACCTAAT